AGTTCAAATCGAAATCGGATCTAACGTGTTACATATTAATTGCCCATAATTTATGGCTGGCATTAGAACAACTTTCACTGATTTGTGTGGCTATTTTCGATTTCAATTCGTTGCGGTTTCGTTTTCGATTTGGCAGAACAAAATTAGGCGCAGCAGCAGCAGCAAAAACAATTTCAAAGCTCATTAAATGTTTGTCGCTTACTCTCTATTTTTTTCGTCTAGCAAAACACTAAATGGATACGTCTAGTCGTGGATCACAGCCAAGTATGGGCAGGGGATCATTTCCGCACTGCATTTCCTCTAAAAAAAAAAAGGCTGGCTGCCATTCTGCTGGACAAGGGTTGTCAGACAGCCTTCTGGTGCTGCTGCTGCTGCTGCTTCCCTTGATTTCGTTGTGGATATTTATCATCTGTGAATGAGATGAGCTGACGCGCGGGGTTAGAGGTCGTGCAAATACTCATAAGTGCCACAAATGTTGAATGATTTCTGCATGTCTCAAGTGATGCTCTGTAATCCATTGGAAGTGCTTCGCTTTTGAAGAAAAGTTGGCATAGAATATTGCAGATATCCAATCAGAACGGCAGGCAAGGAATTTGATTGTTTTTTCTAATATAAGAATATTTTTAATATTTAATTTTTTTTAATATTTAATTTTAATATCCAAATGGATATGCTTCCACTACTTAAATTTATATAAAATATTTATTAAACATTTTTAAGAATACATTTTCCGGAAATAGAAAAATTATTTGAGTGCATTTTATTTTCGTAAAAAGGTTTATCCCATTTACAGCAAAAATTCGCTATATATTCTCTATATAATTCCCTGAAAATGCCCTCCACTGCCAGTATTTCAAAGTAATTTCCTTTTGACAGCTTCCCTGCCTGCGTATTACATTTTTATCTTGCCACTTGACAGAAATCTATTAGATTCTGAGTCAAAGATTCAACCAAGCTGAGGACTCTCCCATCCAGTCTCTGCATCAATCCTGCCGCCCCCCCCAGACCCATGCACGTCGCTTGCATTTGTAAGTTTGCACATTTGTTTCTGCCTTGCCTTTGTGTCTGGGAGAGTCTTCTACATATTCACAATTAATATTCAAGCAACCTTTTTCCCCCCCAAAGGACTCTGCCAGCGTGCCAGCCCAGGCCTGATCTACTTTGGGATTGCTTCTTTTAGTTGGCTTCACGCCCCGCCATTTGATGGGGTGCGAATTGCGATTCAGCAGGGTGCGAGATGCGACTTATCCGCAGTGTCCCGTCCTGTGCTGTCCAAGGAGGGTTTTTGCCATGTCTTCGAGTTGGGTTCGACTTTGGCTTCGGCTTCGTGTTGGTCTGCTTTCATCCCATCCATGGCTGCCCCCGCATTAAGTGTAGACATTATTCATTTTTGATGATGAATTTCCATGTCTCGCATGTCTAGGGTTTTTCTCTCTCTACCGATTCTATTTGTGTGTGTATGTGTGTGTGTGTGTCCAGTAATAAGTAATAAGTGCAGAGTGTAGCAAAAAGAGAGACAGACAGAGAGAGAGAGAGAGAGAGGAGCATAGTGTCCAGATATGAGAGGGAAAAAGAGGAAAAAATAAATAAATCCAAGTGGGGAGGCACATGAAAAAACTTTTAGTTCTGTTGCTGTTTGGCATACAAATGAGTTAAAGTTTCATTGTGCTGGGGGTTGGGTTAGTTAGGGGGGTATGGTAAGTCCCAAGCAATGGTTACTGTTGTTCGGGCTTGCCTTTTATGTGGGGGGAGCGCTGCGAGTGTCCTGGCTGAGTTCTGTTGCTGATAGAGAGATGTGTAAGTGAATTTTATTCTCGGTCTGTGGGGGGCTTGGGCTGGGGGGGCCTCACTACTCCTGCTGATACTCATAGCTGATATAATATAATGCATAAATAAAATTTATTTTCTGGCTTAAAAGCTTCTTCAATTTTTTATTTAAATAAAACACATCATTCCACACACATTTCCAGCAACGATTTAAAGAGTTTTTTAAGCTAGAATTTTTCAGGGTAGTCGAACTATTCAGAAAGTTTATATCCTTTGTCCAAAAAGAGAAAAGAACGTCAAAAGTGTGCCATAAAATATCATATGAATAATATATATATCTATATAAATAAATAATAGTATTTTAATAATAATATAAATATATAAATATCATAATTAAATGCCATAAATCGAATGTCAATGCAAACTTCAACTTTAATATTGATTGCTCATAGGGATCTGGCAGGAATAAACAAAGGTAGAGATGTCTGCAAAATACATGAGTTTCCTGGATGTCCTTTCAAAGCATATCAGTGCTTTGGATGCAGTCAAATATTTTCCGAAAGTTGCCCAGAATAAGTGCACTCAAATCATGTAACTTTGAACCAATTCCTTTGTAAATTCCTTAAAGAAAAATAAACACATATTTTTTTGGGCTTTGACCACCGTAACGATGGCAGATTGGTTGCTCACAGCAATCTTGCCATAGAGACCAGTAGCTCTAGTTTTTTTTTTATATTTTTTTTTAATTCCGATAAAATATTGGTTTTACGATTGATTGATGATTTTATTACTATTATTATTATTTTGATTGATTTTATTTTTTTAAATTGATCACAGAAGGTGTTTAAGCAAGGACTTTCACGATTACAGCTCGGAAGATTGCTGATATTCGTGATACACCTTTCATATTAATACTTTTTGGTGGCTAGAAGCAAAGACTACGAGTATACAAAGACTGTACTAACTGTGTCTTTGTATACTATACAGACTGTACAAGTACAGTCTTTGTATACTACATATATAGACTGTACAGTACAGTCTTTGTATAGTATTTGCTTCTAGCCACCATAAGAGCGATCGACCTACAAGTTTATCAACAGCTTCGTACTCCAAAGCCAGCAATCCTTTTTGGGTTTCAGCCATAAACTCTTTTCATGTAAGAAACCAAAAAAAAAAAAAAAAAAAAACGAAAGTCTCCATCCCTTTTTTGCCCGCTGCTTTTATTGGTCAGAGCATTGTCTTCCACGCCTCTGACATTTATCTCGGAATCAAGGCAATGACAGAGCCTAACCATTTGTAGCTCGACTCCACTAGCTCATGCTCTCTGCCCTCTCTCCGCTCTCCTCTCTCCCCTCTCTCCACAGTTGTCATCACTTTCGCCACGCACCGCCCCCCATTTGGCGGCAACGTTTTGGAGCGTGTAAAACTCATAAAACACATTAAATCCAATCGAATAATCGAAATGTCACATTAGTTTCTAAAATATTACCAACCCACACGTAAGGAAGTTCCCTTCCGAGCCACACACGCCTCTGCGTTTTCCCCCCCCGCAAAAAGTTAACGAGAACACAAATGTGACCAACAAAACGAAAAGAAAATATCCAAAAGGAAAGACAACAACAACGAAAAAGAAAACTCTTTTCAAACATCTTCTTCGGTGTCTTGCTGCTGGCTGGCAAATGCCAATTTTGTCGTTGAACATTTCCAAACGATTTCATATTCAAGCAGGAGACACAGTCCCCCCCATCAGCAGTTCCCTTCCGTCCTGCCTTGGCCCTCTACCTCTCTGCCTCTGCTTTTTATGCCTCGTCGTAGTCCTGTGGGTATAATTTTAATGGTCAAATCGCTGCTGGGGAATTGTCTGCCTCTCCCCTCTCGCCACTGTGGAAATGGAAATTGCTTTTCCATTATTTCCATGTGATTTTGTTTGTGTTTGCCGTGGAATTGGCATTGAAATCGCATAAAAATAAACATTTCGCATTCGCAAATTCCTCGTAGAGCCGCAAGATTTATTTGCTCGATGAGCCTTGGGATATACTTATAGGATCTGAATGGTTCAGATGCATTTGAAATGAAAAAAAAACCAAACAAAAATTGCCATCTTGGGATTTGCTGGACATTGTTTTAATGGTGTCCTGGCATAAAATTTATTGCTGTAGGAATGGTAAAATATCTAGGAATAAATTAGGAAATTTCTAAAATTTATTTTCATATATTAAATATTTGAATAGCAGTCAATTTCTATCCCAGTGTGACTGAGCACAGTTGAGGTTGGGTTTTAATATCGAGAAATTATTTAAAGATCAGCAGACGATCCCCATGGCATCATTTTAGTGGTGAACAATGCTATGTCCTGCTTTATAGTCGTGCATTAATTTTGGTTGAGGCTATGAAGCAGGGCCCGCACATCCCTGCATCTGCAGATGTCGCAACCATGCCACAATTCGCCGAAGTCTTCCACTCCAGCTAGGGTACCAGCCACGCTAAGAGTCTTGGGGACAATTGCTGATGGGCTTGCTGTTTGGACAGATCTTCGACTGGGCCATGTAATTCCAGCATTGGGGCTTGCCTGCCTCTATGTCCTGGCCAGTATGACCCTGGTGGGTCGAGAGAAGGCACTGCCTACTGGAGGTGCGAATTCAACGATATAACTTACAATGCTACGATAATAATTCTCATTTTGGCACTCACATCATGGCGCAGTAGCAGCTGCTAGTAAATCTCTTTCAAGAAAGCAGTCAACAGCAATCTGATTAAATTAAAATTAAAAAACATTTCTAAACTATATTTTACTACTTTACTACATTTTTCGTACAAATAATTTTGGACAATTATTATTATACTCTTAATTAATTAATTAATTAACATCGAATACAGACTGAATAAATAATAAGAATAACGAAGCAAGTATGAGTATGGATTAAGAAATCAAAGGCTGATTTGGCATTGATTTTTCGGAATGCTTTGATTTCATGAAAATGTCTTGTATTAATACTAGTTTCAAATATAGAATATTTGTGTAAAACGGAAATGAAGTATCTACAAAACCAATTCAATTAAAATGATGACCTCATAAAATGCTTAAATTAAAGATCAATCACTGCTACACCTAATAAAATATATTCTAATTATATTTACAATTTTTATTCATTCGTAGTTTAAGAAATCACAACTCACTTTTATTTATAAATTCACTGCATAATTTATTTTCCATATTTTTGTTACGTTTATCAGTTCATTTTCCATGTCGTTTATTTACTCCCGTCCAATCGTATTCATGCCGATATGCCATGTAATATTTTATCCTGATTGCCAAATTGTCAAAAATATTATTTATTTATTTATTTATGAATGTATTTCGTTGGGGAACGATTTCCCTGTCCCGTGGCTTTCCTTTACAATGGCAATTCGATTTACAGTTCATTACTTTTCATAATTTCTGCCTTGTACTGTCTCGCTCTCCCTCTCTCTCTCTCTCTGTCATTTCTCTGCCTCAAGGATTTGTGTGTGTAGGTGGATCCATCAACCCTCCAGCAGCTGTTCAAAAATCCCACGCAGCAAAAACGGAAAGTCTGAGGGTGGATTGGAAAATTTTCGTGCCTGCCCAGCCCAAAATCTAATTGGACGGCATTCGTTTCGTTTGCCGTGCTTGACATTTTTGCCCTCTAAAGAAAAAAAAATATATATATTCTATTTAAATTGTTGGAATCCGCTTACGATAAAGGACTCCCAAGGATCTGCGCCATTTTGTACGTGTGTTCTGTATTTAGTCTCGAATTTCTGCTTTCGTTTCAAAAACGAATTGTTTGCATCGGTTTAAGTTTTACACTAAGCCTAAAAGCTACTTAGTGGAGTCACACGATGGGTTTTCCACCGATGGCATTATTTTGGCCCCTCATTAAATGGTAGAAAAATAATTTGAAATGCAATTTTCTGTAAATAAATAAACAAAATAATATTTTAATATAAAATTTGATTTTATTTATTTACATGTAATGCCAACAGAAATTCCAGACAAAAAATCATACTTCGTTGGAAAATGTATCGTGTAAAAGGGCAGCTTAAAGGACCTCCACTAGAAACTTTCTATAAATGTCGAATGAGCTTGGAGAACCTTTTCCCCACGAATGAGAATTTATGTGTATTCTTTTTCTATTTTCTATATTCTGTGTACCCTGGTGCCCACTCCATTCCAGGCCGCCCACACCATTCAAGGAGTAGAGAGAAATCGATAATATGCAAATATATTTTTGCATCCCTAACTCACACACACACACACACATGAGAGAGCGTAAAACAAACATAAACGCGGGCGAGTTCCTCTGCAGCAGTTTTCCCCACACACTTTCTGGGGTTTCCTTTTCCCCTACTGCCCACACACACACACACACACTACGCATACATATAAACTAAATAACTAAATACGCATTAGCATCCTGTCGGATTTTCCTTTATTATTGCGGCCAAGATGCGTGGGAGGCAGGGAGGGAGGGTGCGGATGGGCAGCCGGCGACCGCACGTTGCACGCGCTTCGCTTGAGGCACATTGGGGCAGAGTCGAAACGGCAATGAACTCTTTTAATTGGCGACAATAAATAAATAATAAAAAAATAAATAATTGGTGATGATAAAATTAACTTCTAATTCATAAAATCCCTAAAATAGCACCAAGAAAAGGTTTTTTCAATCGTTTTTATTTGACTTTTATATGTACAATGGCTGTCCTGTTTGGGGGGATAAATTCTGCTCAAACTGCTAAATAGAAGGGACATCATGGAGCTGGTCAGCAGCAGCTGAGACTCTGGCCGGCATTCCCTATCTTCCCCTTTAAAAGCTGGAAGACTTTTTTCGATGCCAATAATTAATTCCAAAAATTATGTAAAATGCAGAAGAAAAGAGTGAAGTAAAAAATTAAATCAGTAAATGAAATACTGATTTCTTGTTATCTTAGCTTTAGTTCCACTGTGCAGACTACCAAAAAAAATTCCTAGAGACCGGGGCCCGGCCCGAATCGGCAACAAATTCAAACGAACGTGTATGCAGAGTGTGACTGAAAGCATTATTAATAGAGAATGTCGGCAGCTAAACTCACACTAACACACACACTGACACATAGACAGGCACACACTCACACACACTGACACTCAGACAGGCACACACACGCAAAGAGGATATAAAAGCAATAAGAACATTCATCTTCATAATTACAGGCAACGAAATGCAGAGAAAGCGGAGGCGAGGCAACGTAGGAAATTCAAATGAAACGGCAAAGTTTTGCATATGCTGCGAGAGTGTGTGTGTAGTGTGTTGTGTGTGTGTGTGTGTGTGTGTGTGTGGGTGTACGCAGACAGCCTCCTCTTGTGCCCTTAAGCATGTTCAATGGGATTTTATGGAAATGACAGTTAAGCTCAGGACACAGGACGTCGGTCAGCACCCTAATGAATGCTCAAGGAAACAGTTTCTCACTCGCTTTGCGCTCGGGGAAATGCAATCAAATGGAAATTGTTAAAGAAAAATGCCCACAAGGAGCGTTAAAGGGAAGTGGGTTGGGGTGGGAGAAAAAGGCATTCGCTTGACTGACTGCCAGGGAGCTGCAGCATGAGCTGTGGAGGTGTGTGGCGAGATCCTGGTGCTGCCTGGTGCTGCCTGGTCCAGGACTTTTAACGAGGGTTGCCAATGCACTAATTACGCAGAAACCATGTCCGGCAAAACCTTTCAAGATTCCACACAATTTCGTGCAGGGGCTGAGAGCTGAGAGCTGAGACTGAGACCTTGAGGCGTCTGTTTGGCATTTGTCGCTTGGGTCTTTGTTTTTTTTCTTCTTCCCCCTCACGAGTTGCAATTTAAATGAGATGTATCCCTGATGCGAGGGTGTTGCCTGCAATCGCTGCCCAGTAAAAAGGCCACACGGGGTGAGGAGCAGGGCCAGAGGAATTAATTCTAATCCAGAACACGTTCCAGCGCAGACGGGACTGGTCAGTGCGTCGAACGGGGCGAGGGTATGGCACACTGCGGTGTGGTGTGATGTCCTGTGTGGGTGGTTGGGTCTTAGCTGGTGGAGGGTTCGGCGCTCGAGATCCCGAGATCATTAGCGTGATTTCTTTTCCGGCTTTGACATCGCATCGATGAGAGATTGCTTGCATACGAAAAGGCGGAAATTCGAGTGTCTTGGGATGGTCTGTGATTTCAGCGACGCAAATTGTTTTTACCATTTTTTGTTTATTTTTTTTATCTAGATTGACTGATTCCTGAACAAACGACTTTTTAGAATGAGAACTTGAATTTTTTTTTTAAATGCGAGCCTCTTGTCTATTAAATATTAATAGTAAAAATAATAATAAAAAAAAAAAAATATAATATAATATAATATAATATAATATAATATAATATAATATAATATAATATAATATAATATAATATAATATAATATAATATAATATAATATAATATAATATAATATAATATAATATAATATAATATAATATAATATAATATAATATTATTATGCTAGGGGGCCATATACTTCTCATATTCTTCATCAATGTCTGGAAAAGCGCTGCCGACTGAAAGTTAAAATAAAACTAAAAAATAACCCGAAAAACTCACCAGATTCTGATTGTGTTTTGGCGCCAAATTGTTCAAAGTCGCTGCAGCCTGCACCTAAAATTCCCAGTGCTGTAAAGTGTTTAAGCGCAACTGTTGTGGTGTGAAACACGGCTATATTGGTTTCTGAATCGGATATGCTGGCGTAAAAATATTTCAAACCGAAATGAACAATACTATCGATATTTTCGCAAAAATATTTAACGATAAAAAATTTATAAATCGTAATAATGTTTTTTTTCTGTTTGACTCTTTTAACGATAAAAAATTGTAAAAAAATATCGTAATAATGATATTTTTATATACTTTTACCACCGCTAAGAAAAGTGTTGCAAATGGCCCGCAGATGGCTGTAAAAATTTCAAGGTGAAAAAAATTTTATTGATAAATAGCAACAAGAATACCGCAAAGGCCGACGGTAAAACGGCAAAATATCTGCGATCCGCACAAAGCGAAAAAGTTGCAACCGATTTGATCAAATGATTGAATAAAAGGTGGCTTGTGTGCTTAAAACGTATAGAAGAAAAGAAAAAACTGTGTATGTGCGTTTACGTGAGTGTGTGAGTGTGACGTGTGCGCCAAGAGTGTGTTGGGCTGGCTGTGAGTGTGTGCGCGATGGTGTGCTCTTGCTGGCCGTGTGTGTGCGTGTTTAAATGAATAAGAAAACGGAGCACAAAAAGCACTGATGGAAAATTTATATACGGCTGAAAAATTGATTTAATTTGCAAAACGAATAAGAGAGCGACGCGCCTAAAGGCTAAACAGAGCTCAAGTAATTGTGACAGAAGAAAGAAGCGAAAAAATGTTGGTCGGGGAAATGGAATTGATTGCCGGAATTGCAGGAGAGAGAGAGACTGCTGCCCCTCTTCTCATGGCAAGTGTGTGTGTGTGTGAGCCGCTAGAAAATCAAACCAGAAGCAAAAGAAAAAAAACGTTGTGCAAAATTTGGTTGAATTTGTTGTTTTTAGTGCTTTCCCCGGCCCCCCCTCCCCATTAACCCTATAAGTTGTTCAGCTCTTTCTTGCAATATTTTTTTGCACGCTTTTTCGTTTATTTAACGCGCTCTCTCAGCTCACTGCTCTTTCGCGCGCTGTACTCTCTCGCTCTGGCTGCGCTCTCTCAGCTTTTTTTTTGCCAGAGCCAACTGTCAAAACTGTCATTTACCTTCTTTTTGTACGATTCGCAAAGCGCAACCGAGAAAAAATATACAACTGAATTCTGTGCAAAAATTCAATTTGTTATAAACTATTAAGGAAAGCGGAAGTCACAGTTAAGCATCTGCATAGTGTGTGCCCATTTGTGTGAGTTACAAAGAAAAACTGTAATAGGCAGTAAAGAGTGCAAGATAAAGAGAGCCGCCACTCTGCCACAGCCGCCGCCACCGCCGCTGCTGCTGCCGCACAGTGCCACAAATCGATCTAAAAAGAAAACCCAAGGGGAAACCGCATGAAAATTATACGGAAAATTGGTTTAAATACGAAGCTGAAACTAGCAACCAAAAAATAGTTTTACTAAATAATAAACGTGTTAAATCCACTCTTATCCCACAAGGGAGAGGGAGAGAGAGTGAGGCAGAGAGAGAGAGAGAGACTTTTTTGTGCGTGAGTGTGTGTGTGTTTCTGCCCATCCTTCGCTGTGGACTTCATCCTCCGCGTCTTCTCTCTGCTCTGCAAATTCGTTCACTTTCGCTTTGTTGTTGTTGCTGCCGCTGCTGCTGCTGGTGCTGCTGCTGTGATTGCACTTTGTACCGTTATTTCAGCCTGTGCTTATAGATTTTCCCTCCATTCCATTCTGATTTCCAGCAGAAAACAGAGGAGAAACAAAAAAAAAATCTAAGAAGCAGAAAGAACAACAAAAGGCAGAAAAAACAACAACAACAAGCAACTAAACAGAAAAGCTTTGGATACCAAATATCGTGATACCCTCTCAACAGATCGATAGTGTTCCCCAATGTTAACTACTCATACATATATCGATTTTGATCAGAAACACTTGGAAATAATTGTCATCTGCTCGGAATGTGATTGGATAATCTTCAGCACAACTGTTCATATGGCAGCTAAAAGATAAGGTCCGAAGATGAAGCATAATATGGTACATATTTGTGGTTAAAATCGTAATACCCGCTGCCCTGCCCAGGGGTATATGCACAATGATTAATATGGTAAAAGATGATGTTTTGATCAACTTCACTCTTTCTTCCCTTTTTGTTTATAACGTCAGCTGTTCTTCTGTTTTGTATTCCCCCATTTCTTGTTAGTCAACCGATTACTATTTCCTTTCTTTTGTTTTATCAAAATTTGCATATAACATTTTTTGCATGCCTATTTTCCATATTATTCAATTGAATTTTAATGGCCAGCGGGGAATTTCGAATAGGAATGTTATTTGTCTGGAAATATGCATAAAGTGTGATATAAAATTTCTATGGAAACGAATTAAACAGGAATACATTTAGTTCGTTAATATTAAAAGAATTTTGTATATTCAAATGTAATTCTTTTTAGTACAAAATGATAATCCTTCCAATAGGATCCATCCTTTAACAACATAGTCGTTTATGAGAAGATATCATGTCTGATGGGTGAGCTAAATCTTTTTAGCAGATACTTACGAGAAAACATGTTTAAATAAAATATTCAACCTTAACATGTGATACTTTTGTATGTAAATACCCCTCCCTCAGCTGAGATAAATTCCTCTAGAGCGAATCCTAAAACTAGAACCTGTTCTTCCACTCCACTTACTCTAGCCTCAAATCGTTTTAGCTGCCAAACGGTTCGGTACCAAACTCTTTGAATGCCCTTGAGCTTCAGGCTTCCATCCCTCCCAAAATCGCTTCTCGAACGTCTTCAATTTCATCAACCGAAAATGAGAAAGAAATAACATTCTGTCTGGCAAAAAGATCTTTTTTTACGGGTTCTGTCCTTGGATTAAAAAAAAATGGCAACATTTTGGTGCTTACCACAGCAACATTTTGTTAACTGTCGCCAAAGATTTTTTGTTTATAATTCTGACATATAATTCGGACCCCTCAAGATGATGATTCTCGATATCATCCAGAGAGCGAAAGTTTTGTGTGCGTGTGTGCAGGCAGTCACGTCTGCCCTTCCCTCCCCACCCTTGTTGTGCCCCCTTCTATACGATGTTTGATGTGAAGTAATTTAGGTTGCGATATCAACAATATTTATTGTTATGTTTGAGGGAATTTGAGTAGGAAAAGTGTGGGGAAATTTGTAGAAAATTGACTCAACTAAACGTTTATTTACAATAAGTTGAAAGCTCTTTAGAACAGATATTTGAGTGGAAATAAATTATTGAAATTGGATAGAAAATTAAAGGTGAGGCAATTAAACCGCAATAAGTGAAATTGAAGGTGTTTTATAGGGAAATAAAAAGTAAACAAACATAAAGCATAAATATTCCTACAGATTTGAGCAAAATGTTGTTGAGTTGTTGTAAAGATGACTAATGAAAAGCTGCTGTAAGCCTACCTTACCATACCCCTAGAGAAGAGGCGTAGATTTTCCTCTATTATTTTCCTTAATTTGTTTGGTTATCGCATTTCATTGTGCTGGTGTTTTCCTCGGGTTTTTGTGTGCCACATTTTGCGACTCAATTGAATTGAAAAGTTTTATTTGATTTGGAAATTGTATCTGAGCGTGTCTCATGGCGTATCTCATGGATGCACTGTCATTGTAATCTCTTGCTGCTTGCCTCTGCCACTCTCCCTCGCCTTGCATCTCTGTCTCGCTCGCTCTCTCTCTCGCTCTCTCTCTGTCTACTTCTTTCGTTTCTTCTACTTCCTCTTACAACGCCTTTTTTTTGCAGTGTGATTCATTTCCTTTGGTTGAACTGGTACGGTGGGGTGGTGGTGGGGGGAAGGTATAGGGTTGGGTATTGGGTGGCCTTTTTCTTTGCGTTTTTCTTCTCTTTGGGCTTAATTAAATTGTTTTTGTCGCTTGTTGTCTTCTTCTTTTGTTCTCCCTCCTCTCTCTCTCTCTCTCACTCTGTACCATTTTGACCTTTTCCCTTGTGCTTTTTATCTTCTTTGGCTGCTGCCTCTGCCACTGCTGCGCTGCCGCTTCTGCTGCTGCTGCGCTGCTATCATCATCAATATTGATTACCGGCAGCTGTCTTCTTCCTCTGCCGCCACACAGAGAGCGCAGCAACGGAGAGAGAAAGAGAGCGAGAGAGAGCCGCTCGCTCCCTTGCAAAATTTTTGTTGTTTTTCTTTTTCGTATGCTGCTGGCTCACCGCCCCCCACCCACTTGTAGGCACCCATCAGGCTCTCACTTGGACGTGGCTCTCTCTCCGCGCGAGAGAGGGAGCACAATTATTGCAATTTGTTTAACGCGCATTCGCTTGCTCTCTCTCTCTCTCTCACACACTGTCTCCCTCTGCCTAGTATTTGTTGTTGTTGGGCGCTTCATCGATTTTATGCTTTTGTCGTTGCAATTAGTTCTCTTTTCTCGTTCTGTTGCTCGTTTTCCTTGTCTGCACTTTTAGTTCTCATTTTTCTTTCATATGGCACTCTTCTCTTCTTCTGATTGCTGACTGCCTGCTGTTGAGGCAGGGCAGCGGTAGCGGTAGAGCCAGTGGCAGTGGCAGAAGAGGAGCCGCCGCAGCAGAATTTCTCCATCTCCTGCACCTTGTCCACTTCTTACCTTTGCTGAGGTGTGTTTTAGTGTGTTGTGTGTGTGTGTGTGTGGACAATCTGGTTACAACTACAACGATACTTTGATTATTGGTAGTTCTCGAAGTGGGTTGGTAAGAGGAGAGGAGCGGCAGCAGCAGCAGCAGCAGCAGCACCAGCAGCAAGAAGTGTGTGAAAGGATAGGAGGAGGGGGGCAGAGAAGTTGATTTATATTTATAGGTTCCACTTTTAATAGTTCTCTGAATAGGTGAGAAGAGGATAGATAGGTATCGTGGGATAGGTAGGAGAGTGCAAGGAAATCTTTTAAAAGGAACACTTGACTTTTTTAATGAGACTATAATCCTTCTACATAATTTAATCTAGTTAAACGTTAACTATAGTTAACTAACTAACTGATAGCTATCAGTCGCTCCTTCAGATATAAATGAGATCCTTGAGTATAATTTTCCCAGAATCCTTGTCATATAAATCCTATAATCCTATATCTATCTATCTATCTTAATCGTATAATTTTTCCTTGAATCCTTGTCATATAAATCCTTCTTGTTTTTGGTAAAATATTAACCAAGAGAGGAGATGTAATATCTGCCATCAAAATTAAGTTCTACAGAGCGTTACAGAACTAGAATTTAGAACCCAATTTGTGTGTTTGATCTCTGTGGGTTTTTCTACAATCGCATTTTTTGATAAGCTCTTAAACAAATAATGGTTTTTGTGGTAAAAAACTATGAACTTCAATCACAGCCATTAAAGTGCGACTAGTTAGGTTTCCAAGCCTAAAATAATGAAAAATATCATATAGAAAAAATGTTTCCCTTTGTATAGTTCGAAACCTGCTCAAGCCAAATGTTTCGAAACTTTTGGGCTTTCTGTTAAACAAAACTTCAACTTCAAAATGGGTGTTCAACTATTCTGCAGATGAAGAAACAACAGTCTCCAAAAGCCAACCCAGCCAACCAACACCTGTGCTGCCCAAAGAACAAGGCCAATAGACTCTCAAAAAGCCAGCAAAGACCCACCACCACATGCAAAAAGACAAAAAAATATCCAGCATACACCTTGACTGAGTGCTACGACCAATGTTGACCTATAACTGGAATATATGCTTAATGTTGTGTTCCTCTCTTTTTCCAACCGAAAGCAATCTTTGTCGTGGTTTTTTGCGTCGTTTATAACTCGATTAGGCAAATAGGTAAAATAAATTATAGAAAGAGAGACCAGTGACAGAGAGAGAGAGGGGGAGGGAGAGCAACATCAAGGTCTTGACTGTTGCCTTCTGGCAGGGCACACGCAGAGTTCAGCCACACACACACACACACATATGCACAATCCAATCTGTTAAACAGTCCACGCAATTTATGAATGATCGTCAAAGCTTACGGTTATTAACCCATACACGCATGCACAGCACAGCTCTCCCGCACACGCACACACACGCACACGCACAGACAGGCAGGCGCGTGTGCTGAAAATGTTTGCAAAACTTTTTTTGGCAACTTTTTTTTGTGTGTACCCTGTAATTAGTTGTGGGCAAAGGGTATATTGGTTGCATGATTAAGTTTGTCAAAGGCAATAGGAAAGGGGAGTTGTTGATCAGAATTCAAAAGACTAGCACACAAAATTCAATTCCATTAATGTACCCAGACACCAAAAATAGGTTCGATAAGCCAATAGATTCTACACATTTCCCTGGCCTTTACTTCTTCACTAATATAGCTATACCTTTAAAAACCCCTTGGATTATAGGGTATCTCATAGTCGTTTCACTACACAAAAACATTTTTGCTTGTTTTTTTTTTTTTGCATTGCTTTTAACTCTTTTATTCTCTTTCCCTCTCTGTCGGGTGCCTGGCCCGCTCATTTCTGATTTCCGTAAACGAAATCGATTAAATAATGAGTAAGTAGGAACAAAAAAAAAATCAATGCCGAAAGGAAAATAAATATTGAAATACTCAATTGCAAATGCAAAATCAAATAAGAAGAGGAAGAGTGCAGGAAAATTGTTGTGTTTTGTTTTTTTGCAAAAAGTTATTAAAGACAAACAAATCGGTTGGGGGTTTTTTTTTGTGTATTTCGTTGGTTCGGAAGGAAGAGCACCCTCTTATGGCACGACTGCCTTCTAATGTAGCACTTAACTAATTCAACAAAACTACGACGTACCCTCGACGGACGGGCAGGCAGACAACTCAATGAAATCAATAATAAAAAAAAGAAATAATGAAAAACACACAAAAGCCTCATCATCATGAATGGGATGGGATGATGATGATGATGATAAGCGAACATGAACTACGCAGTTATGAAATCTAACTAGATGCTTGTGGCAACAGATACTTGGAAGAGTAACCCCCCTCCGACATAGATGGGGACAGGTTGCGATTTATATCAGCATATCAAACATAGCGTAGGAAGATTCAAGGGCTCGAGAGAGATGGAAAGATTAAATTATATGTACTATAAATATGATTAAAGAATTAATGAATTAAGATATATAGAAAAAGAGACAATTATCATACAGAGTTAAAGGAAAAGATGGGAATGATAGTAATATTGATATATAGAAAGATAGTTAAGAATAAACAAATAGAAATATATATAAAATGCATAAACATTTAGGCTTTGATTCTGAACATAAGAATAAATTTCAATAATATTAGAGGACCACATATGTATAGGGGGAATACTTCAAGTAAAGATAAAGTCTAAAGTCACTTGACTAAGTCACTTCTACTGCTGCTGCTGCTGCTTCTGCATCTCTGATGACTCACTCGTTGGGTGTGCTTTCCCATTTTCTTCCATTGACTTCTAATTGCAATTTGTTAAATTGCAGCCAAACTGAAATTAAAAAATTAAATATTCCATTAAAACGCTCCATTTACAAAAATGTACAATAATTAGTCTGCACACCCTGCAGCCCATATTGCTCGTTAGTTCTCCTATTCCCTGGTGTATTACGTATACGCTGCGTTATACAGGTGCAAATATTTATCTATATATTCGCGCTCTTACCGGCTTAGCGACGTCGCCGCCGCCCTGTGCATTTAATTTGATAAACAAATAATAGAGAGTTGATGTTCATGTTGTTTTTTTTTTAATGAAATTTAATGCTAATTCTGCTTTACCTTTTCCGCTTCTCCATTTCCACAGGAATATCATTTCTAACATTTACTGCAATGTGCTAGTAAAGCGAAGCCGAAGAGATTGAATTATTCCACGAATTAAGATCCAAAACCCACAACAAATATTCCAATTAAAACGGGAAAAAATGTACAGTGTGTGACAAAAATAAAGTGCAGCAGCAACTAAAAAAAAATAATAATATTTATAAATATAAATACCTAACCTAAAATAAATAATTTAAATCGATAAAATACCAAAATACATAAATCTAAGTACCCCCACCCACCCTTAACGTAAATAAAATAAAATAAAATAAAATAAAAAAGTGTGCAAAAAGTGTTGTAAAAACCAAACCGAAAATAGCGAAAATACCAGAAAAAAAAAATCAGTGCAACAGCAACGACGCGAATACCATCAATACGGAACAGCTGTGCTGTGCTGTGCATGGTGTGGGCGGCAGCGGCGGCGGGCGCGTGTGTGTATGTGTGTGTGCAGCGAGTGCAAAACTTAAAGCGCTAGATGGCGCTCCAGACTATGCCATTCTCGTGGTCGGCCCAAACCCTTGTTGTCGTCGTTGTTGTTGCTGCTGTTGCTGCGCATAAAACGCGGAAAGGTCTCCCCCCACTCTAAACAAAAATTAAATTAAATTAAATCAATTTCAATCTATTTAATACAACAAAAGAAATTGAACGCCCAAAGTGGGAGTGAGAGAGAGCGAGAGCGAGGAGCGAGAGAGCGCGAAGCAAACCGAAACAACAAAAGTGTCGCGTTTCAAAGTCGGATCGGTCGCGTCGTCGTATCCGTGCGGTTCGGTTCGGGTACGGGTTCGGTTCGGGATCAGTTGACACTGGGTTGCACCTGAAAGCGCAACCGTTAAGATCGCCGCTGTGCCGCTATGCATCGTCAACGTCGAAGCACACTCGAAGCTGGCAACAATTTGGCGGGAGAACTCTTCAAACTGACAGCAAACAACCAAACAACCAATTAAAATTGTTACCTATAAAAACAAAAATAATAAGTGGAGCACAATTATTACCCGCCCCCTCCCGAGTGCGCTCTTTTGACAAACAATTATTAATAGAACGGAAAAGTGGAGTTTTCCGCATTAAGTAAATATCAATAAACAATTCTTTCGTGGCACCAAATAATCCAAGAATCGCTAGCAATCCTGGATTATTTGCTAAAGACTTTGCGGACGCTGAAATCCAATTCGATTATGGCCGAGAATCAAAGTGCGGCCAGCGAAGATTCCGGTCAACATCAACAACAGCAACAGCAACAACAGCAGCAGCAGCAGCAACCACTCAATCACTCAACCACAGCGGCAACAGCAGCAGCCGCAAGCAGCACAACAATAACCGGCGCAACAACAACAACAGCAGCAAACACTGCTGGCCAATCAATCAATCAATCGCCCACTAACTCGCAGGCCTCATCACCGGAGAACTCGCAGGAAGCGCTACCCACAACGGCCGGCATACGCCGACAACAGCAATCCACAGCAGGAACAGCAGTAGCGACAGCAGCAACAGCCACATCCGGCAGCAACATGTTCGATCGCACGGTGAATGCCAAGTTCAAGCCGGGCACGGGCAATACCGGAGCTGGCAACAATCCGCACGCAGGACGCCGCAACTCGCTGATGTCCACCGCACGGGGCGTGACAGTGGGCGCTGGCAGTGGCAATATCCGCAAGCTGACGAAGGTCAATTCGCTGACCAGCAATCATCACTTTTCCGTCTGCTATCCACCCAACATTAATGCGCTGCCAGAGCGCTATCAGAACAGCAACAACTCGAACTCGAACTCGAACAACTCGGCGGCAGTGGCCGCATTGCAGCGCACCACCAGCGAGAGTTTGCGTTTGAATGCGCTGAATGCGCGTGGTGCAGGTGGTGCAGGTGGCACGGTGGCATCGGCATCATCGCGGGCCAGCAGCAACTCTAGCTTGGCCTCATCCACCAACACATCCACATCGCTGGCACCCAAGACCAGCAGCAGCAGTGGCAGTGTCAGCAGCAGCAACACGCCACAGCAGCAACAGTCGCAGGCGAGCAGCAGCAGCAGCAGCAGCGGCGGCGGCGGCGGCAGCAGCAACAACAAGGCAAGTTCTCCCAACAATAATGGGGCACGCTCAATGACAGCAACAGCAGCAGCAGCAGGAACTGGAACTGGAGCTGGTGCGGCAGCTGCAGGTGGACATCACCATCAGCCACATCACCATCATCATCATCACCACCACTCGCATCAGCATCATCATCATCCACAGCAGCAGCAGCAACAGCAACACACTAGCCACAGTCAAGGACACTCATTAACCGTTGCCGGATTGACAACTGGAGGAGGAGGAGGAGCAGGTGGTGGTGGCGGCGGCTCCTCGGCACCCTCCACTGGCATCGCTGCTGTGGTGACGACCACACGCAAACCAAAGACGACTTCCTCATTCGAGATCACCTCGGTGACGGTGGGACACCCGAAGCTGAATGCTGCCGGCGATACCGGTGACGAGTCGGCCGACGATCTGGACGAATCTCACACGGATGACAACAGTCGGATAACGGATCTGGAGAACGAGACGCCCTCAATGTCGGAGGACACGTTCTCCAAGGAGGAGGTCTTCTATGCCAACAATGCACTGAGCACCAATGCCCCGGTGATACCCACCAGCTCGCAGTACGGCCTGGTCGTGGTCGATCCCATTGGCCCCTCGGCCCTCGGCCAGACCATACAGAACGTTCAGGTGAATGTCTCCACCGATAATAACATTATCAATGTGGTGAGCCATTCGGCTGTGACGCCCGCCGGCGGCAGCAAGAAGAAGGAGGGCGGCGACAACAGCAGCAGCAGCATCAAGGAGACAACGCAGCATCGCAGCGAACGCTTCAAGGTGGTCAAAATTGAGTCGACGGAGCCGTTCAAGCGCGGCCGTTGGATGTGCATGGACTATCTGGATCATTCGAGTGTGGGCAATGGTGGTGGTGGTGGCGGTGCTGCTGGCGGTGGCGGTGGCGGTAATAATAATGAAAAGACTGGCTCTTCTTCTTCCGAGGCGCTTGTTGCCGGCGGCGATGGTGCGGCAGGCGGCGGTGCAGGTGCCGCAGCAGCTGGAGGTGCAGATGTGCCCCAAAAGACAACCCAGAGCATGATACTCCCGCCCACACATGCGCTAATGGAGAATCATCTGGAGGCCAATTCAACGGATGCCAATTGGAACTTTGCCACGGAGCAGCAGCAGCCGCTGCAGCAGCAGCAACAGCAGCAACATCACCAGCAACAGCAGCAGCAACAGTCGCACCAGCAGCAGCAGCAGGCCCAAATTGGTGGCACGCCCAGTGGCGTAATGACAGCCCCAGCCACAGTGGTGCATGGCATGCATCAGCTGCATATGGAGGCGCAACAGCAGCAGCAGCAGCAACTGTTCGACAGCGTCAATGCCAATGCCAGCTCACCCAATCCCCCCACGGTCGAGACGCCCATGGATTATGCCCAAGCGGCGGCCATGCAGCTGCAGCAGACGCTGCAACAGCTCAAGCAGCGGGAGGAGGCCATGGATGTGCCACCGGGTGGCGGCGGCGGCGGCGGCTATCAGAACTACCAGCAGAACGGCAGCGATGCTGCCTCAGGCAACAATAATAACAGCAGCACGGGTGCGGCAGCAAGCGAGTCGCAGTTGCAGCAACCACTGTCGCCGGCCCCACAGACGCCACAGATCACGCCCACATTTGCGGCGGTAGCAGCCGCCGGACAGGCGCAAGCAACATCCCAGATCGATGGGATAGCCAGCAGCAGCCAGCAATTCCCACAGGCAGCAGCAGCGGCAGCAGCACCACAGCAGCAGCAGCAACAGCAGCAGCAAGCCCCAACTGCAACAGTTGCAGGTGCAGCAGCATCAGTTGCACCAGCAGCCACCCAACAGACTTCAAACACTTCCACAACAGCGGCAACGGCTGTGACCTTGCCGCTGTTATCACACATGACACACAGCTATGAGCAGCCAGCCACAGTTGTGGCAGCCACGGTCGGAGCAGCAGCCGTTGCAGCAGCAGCAACGGCAGCAATACCCACGTTGCAGCTGCAGAGTGCCCCAGCCACCATAGTCGATACACAGCAATTGATTGTCCAGCAGCAGCAGCAGCAGCAGCTGCCGGAGGATCAGCAACAGCAACAACAGCAACAGATACCCCCCACAAATATCGCGAGTGTTAGTGCCAATAATAATAATAGTAATATAAATCTAACGAATCCAAATGTCGTCGTTGCCGTGGAGGCCACACCATCATCGGTGGTGGTGTTGCCCTTGACGACCGATGACCAATCGACAACGGGAGCAGCAGCAGCAGCAGCAGCAGCAGCGGCAGCATCCACTGCAGCTGGAGCAGCAACAGGCGGAGCCACCACATCGACATCAGCAACAACACAGCAGCAAATCCAACAGCTACAGCAGCAACCAAATGCAGAATCCGAGACTGAAAGGTGAGTCAATATTTTACATTGCATTACATATGGGGGGATTTTCCATTTTCCGAATTCCTTGCAAACAAATGGTTCATATTCTATTTTTAGAATTTATAAAGCGAGGGCAAAATTTGGGCTTCAATATAGAATTTGGATCTTCCTTGTTACTATTAAAAGTATCAAATGAACTTAATAAAATACACAAGATTAAATTAAAAATTAAAATACCAAAAAAACAAATAATTAAAAAAGAATTTAAAATAATACAATTTTTAAAAATATAGCAAAAAAAACAACTTTAAAATCAAAATTAAAATCCCAAAAAAATAAAGAATAAAAAAAAAAGAATTTAAAATAATAAAAATTTTAAAAATATTGCTTAATAAAATACGTAACATTAAAATCAAAATTAAAATACCAAAAACATAAATTATTAAAAAAAAGAATTTAACATTATCAAATTAAAAAAAATAATAATAATAACACAATTTTTAAAAATATTGTAATATTTACAAATTTTTAAAATATTTCCGCTTTAAAAATTAATTTTATGTGCGTTAATTTTTTGTTTATAAATTGTATCTATAAATTTTCGCTCCCCTTTAACATTTAATTGCTGCACAAATATTTTCCCAAAAGATTTCAATCGTTTACCACTTGTAGTAAAAATGTTTCTCAATGAGAAAATTTACTTGGCACTGGCACACAAATTTTCCGCCTTATCTTATCTCGTCTGTTTGACTTTTGGCTTACAATTCGAAAAATCGAAATTCATTCATTCACAAAAACTTTTGACTTTGGATTTTCATGTGTAGCCAGCCTTATCGCTGCTACACACGTTCATTTTGTAGCATTGGGTTGATCAAATATTTACACGACATAATGCACAGACTTTTGTTCGTAATCAATTAAGTTGAAGCCGAAACCCACCGAAAGTTATTTATGGACAAAGCAAACGACGACTTTGGTTTGCATTTTCAACTATTTTTAGAACGAAGAAACAACAAAGAAGAGCGTTGGTTGGTTGTTTGAACAAGTTTTGAGAAGGCTCCCGCTACCGCTCCCGCTCCCGCGCCCTCCCCCCACTCCTCTCCCTATGTTCACACGACACGTCTAGGGCTAGTTTCAGGTTCATTTCGGAGACCGCTAAAGTGCCAACACGCGCCTCTGTATCTGTATCTCTCTCTCTCTCTCTGTCATTGTGTCGCGCCCCATTCTGAAGAAACATTTTCGCCACTCGAATTATTTTTGTTGGTTTTACTTTTTTTTTTCCATTTTTCGCTGTTTGCTTGCAAATTTGCTGGAATTGCTGTTGCCTAGAGAAGAGAGAGAGATGGACAGTCCCCCTGCTCTAATAGAGAGGGTAAACCTCATTATAATAATTTATTTAATAAAAATTCATCAATGAAATTAGCCATGGAATGTGTTTTTTTTTGTGCACTGTGTTCTGTGGCGCGATGGATGAATGATGAGAGAGGGGTGTGGTGGTCATGTGCGGGCGGTGGCTCAATTGTGTGGGGGGCCATACAACAACACGTGCGTGACACAAAAGGTCGCTTTAATTAAGTTCGTTTTAAAGCGTACAAAAGTTTACTCAATTGCCGTGCACTGCAACAAAAAAAGGTTGCCCAAAATAAATGGTTTAACGCTCTACTAGTCTCAGTCTATGCGAGATAGTTCTTTCAACTTTGCTAAGGCTGCGCCTGGAATTTGTTTACTTAACTTGGTTGGATTAATTATATTTTAGCAGCTTGAAGCAAGAGTCATTGGTGGAATTTTAAATCTGCATTTAAACTGCTAACGAGCTGTCATCACAAGCCTACTATATCCTTTTTGATAAACTGCAATTTTCCAATAAATAATAATAATTCTTCCTTTTTTTTCTGCAAAAGAAAATTTAATTTTCTGTAATTTTTGTATGGCTCATTTTTGGTACAACAGTTTTTATTTTTTGTTATTCCAATAAATAAAATTTTTCCCTTTAATTTTCTGTAATTTTGGCACAGCTCATAGCCGTCGCTTTCATAACTTACATATTAAAATTTCAACATTCACCGTTTTTATTTTATTAGATTCCACTTTGCTTGATTGACAAACTTCGTTGCGTTCAGCAGCTCTTTGTTGGCAGTGTTTTTGTTTTTTTATGGGTTCCCTCATTTGGCTTGGCTCATGACTAATCTGCTTTGCCATAGAAAAACAGTTTTGTGAAGCTGATGATTCATATCTCTGTGCCGTTTTGCATTTGCTTACTAAAACGATTGATTAAACTAGAAAAATGCATACTAGAAAAATGGGGGGTTTTTTTTTGCGCTTTTTATTATTATTACTTATTGAGAAAATGCCAAAAATATATTTTGCAATCAAAGACAGAGCGAAAGAGAAAACCAAATTCAAGGCAAAAGTAAAACATGTGTATCTTGCAGATACTGCAGATACATGTGTGTGTGTGTGTGTGTGTGTGATATCAGATATTCTGGGCAGATTGCGCATTTGCGTGTGACGAGAAGGGAACCCCTTGGCATCGCATGGGCACTCCCTGCTGCAGCAGCAGCAGCAGCAGCAGTTCTTTCTTCTGCTCAATGCAACAGGGAAGGAGCGCAAGAAAAATTACATTGAATTATGTGGCTTGGGTATTAAAAATAGCCCTCGATTGAGGGATCAAAGAGGAGAAGTCTGACAATGCGTCGTTTGAGTAATGCAGCCCCATATGTACTCCGAAAGGCAGTGGTGTATGGTGGAGTTTTTCTCCAAAGGGGATCTTAAGTTTACTCAATTTTAAATCTGAAATTAAATTCCTCCAAGTATCGATTGAGTGCACAAAATGCGAAATTTACGCTCGATAAATGCCAGTCAATCAATTATAATATATATAATATAATTATAATTATTATATAATTTAATAATAATCAAATGTTGATCTCCCCCCTCTTTGTACGTCACTGCATTCGACATGTCTGTTCGTGTTCACTTCTTGTCGACTTAGCAACAGCTTGAAATGTAAAATGTGAAAGACAAAACTTGGTCCTCTGCACTTGACAACTTCCAGCGCCCCCCCTTCCCATGGGATCTCCATGCCCCAACCCCAACCCCAAGCATCTTCATTTTGAATTTATTTCTCTGTCTGTCTCTGGCAGTGTTCGCAGACAATTTTGTCCATGGGTTTTCCTTTATTAGAGCACACCACTGAGATTGAATGCAGTGGGCGGCCCAAGGGCGTCTCGCCTTAGCCCTGCCACACCACCCCACTCCACTCCACTCCACAATATGTGTGTGCCCTGTCCAGCGTCACTTACGTCATGTTTCTCCTCCTCTTGAGCTGTGGAATACTCTGGACAATAATGTAAGTGGTCTGTGGTCTGTGGTCCGATGTAAGCCAGAACTGGTTTCAGCCCTGTCTAATGAAAAGGAAAGTCTTTGGCGTGGGCTGTTGCATTGCAGCCAGCCGCCAAGTGCAACAATTGTGGTGCGGTTTACTCTACATAAAAAGAAGAAATATTTACATATATATTTTATGTGATTGAAATCGAATCACAATAAGCAAGCAAACACAAATCGCATTAAACTGGTTTCAATTGAATAATCATCTATTTTTATTCCCATTATTAATCTGCTTTTATGTATAGAAATTGCGATAAAAACTATAACACATATTTTGCATTTGTTTCGATTCCATTATCATACATTTTATATGTAGAATTTCTCTGCTGCCTCACGACGTTACCATGAATCAAAATCAGAGAATTTTTATTGCTGGTATTCCCAGAACTGTTGCCAACCCATATGGAATATAAATTTTGTGTGTGTTTCTATTGCGAAAAACATTTGCGATATTCAAATAACTTTCATGACAAAGAAAAAGAAATTAAATTCATTAACTTATTGTGTGCCATTGCCTCTGTGGATGGGCCCCATGGATCCATGGATGGTCAAATGTAGTCATCAGCCATGAGCTGAGCTGAGCTCATGCTCGGTTGTCGGTTGTCGGTATGAAAGAACAGAGAAAACTAATTTCACATTGCTCAAGCCGTCAATTAGTTGAACAGACGTAAGCAGAATATGCACAGAAATATGTACATATGCATGTATGCTATATGCAGGGAAAGGTCTGCCAAAGGGCAGTTCTCTATTGCATTCGTAGACCTCTTTTTGTATCATAACTTATTTAACCTAATTATAATAATAATATTAATTAAAATAAATATTTAATAAATATTCTGTATTTATTTATTTATTTACATTAAATTCCTAAGATCACTTCCCTGCTAGTATCCATCTCTAATCCTTCACTTTATTGCTCTGCCCTGCCCCTAACGCCTCAACCTTCTTCTGTTTTCCATCACTAACTGCGCTTTCTTCTGCTCTTTGGACATCACATGAGCCCTGGATACCATCAGCTTCCTTCATCGTTTCGTTTCGTTTCGCTGCAGATGAATTCTTTTCCGCATTTTTGTGCTTGCCATAATTTATATTGGAACAATGTTTCACTCAACTCTGTCGCTGCCTTCCTGCCCCTGGTGTGTGTAGGAAATTGACAGATTTACTGCAATTGGTTTGGTTTTGGCATAGAGGCAACGACCCGCTCTCCGATCGGCAGACCTCGCATGAGTCATCGAAAGAACCTGATAAGAAGGGAGACAACGATAGCGAACACCTTTTAGGCGGCTCAAACCGCCCAAACAAATTCCCTTCCTGGAAATATGAACCTCTCATGCATGGGAGTGTGTGTATGTATGTATGTGTGATTACCTCATGCGTTGGTTAAATCGCTTTCAAGGCAGGGCCCCCCCCAATATATATTCATATATCAAAATTTTGACTTGACTCGTGCCTGGCATTGACCGACTTAGAATAATTGAATGGAACAGAAACAGGAGCTGGGGAAGGGGAAGGGAAATAATGTTGCTGAGGTTAGGCCTGTTCTTGTATTTCAATGACCTCGACACATGAACTTCCGCAAAATGAAATGGGGGGAGAGTGAGAAAGCGAGGAAGAGGCGCCAAGAAATATCTTTTCAATTA